GTCTTTTTTTTTTTTTTTTTTAAGATTTTATTTATTTATTTGACTGATAGAGATACAGTGAGAGAGGGAACACAAGCAGGGGAGGTGGGAGAGGGAGAAGCAGGCTTCCCGCGGAGCAGGGAGCCCAATGCAGGGCTCGATCCCAGGACCCTGGGATCATGACCTGAGCCAAAGGCAGGCGCCCTAGGATCAGTCTTTTTAATTTTAGACACACTAATCGATGTGAAGTGGTATCTCATAGTTTTGACTTGCATTTCCCCAATGACCAATGATATTGAGCATCTTGTTTGCTTATTCACCATCCATCTATCTTCTTTGGTGAAGTGTTCAAATCCTTACCTATTTTTTATTAGGTTATTTTATTACTTAGTTTTTTTACTGGCTATTTTTTTAAAAAAATCAAGCTTTTTCCCCCCAATGACTAAATAGTGTTAAAATGAGAAAGCATTATTACTGGACTACACACTTAAAAATGGTCAAGATGGTTAAAAAAAAAAGAGAGAGAAAAGATTGATCCCACAGACCAAAAGAGAGAGAGAGCATTTCATCACAAAGGTACAAAATTTGTGAACCATCAGACTTCTTTGTTCAACTTGCTACAAACTTGAAACAATCGTAATTATGCAAAGAAAAATCACTAAGACATGAAACAAAAAAACCAATGAATACAACCACAAACTATTTTAACCTCAGAATTATTACTAAGAGCCTAAAATGCTCCTTTATCTTTATGCTCAGCTGAGTGATTCTGTTGTCCAACACAGCAGCCACTAACCACATATAACTCTTGAGCACTTGAAATGTGGGTAGTCCAAATTGAAATATGCTGTAATGTAAATAAGATACACACTGGATTCGAATGTTCTCTGAAAAACTGAATGTAATCATTAATAATCTGCATATTGATTACATGTTGAAGTGATATTCTGGATAATTTGGATTAAATAAAATACATGATTAAAATTATTTTCATGTGTTTCTTTGTACTTTTTAAAAAGTGGCTCTTACACGGGATGCCTGGGTGGCTCAGCTGGTTAAGTGTCTGCCTTCGGCTCAGGTCATGATCCCAGAGTCCTGGGATCAAGTTCTGCATCAGGCTCCTTGCTCAGTGGGAAGCCTGCTTCTTTCTCTGCCTGCCACTCCCCCTGCTTGTGCTCTCTTTGACAAATAAATACTTCGTGGAAAAAAAAAATTAAAAAAAATAAAAGTGGCTATTACAAAATGTAAAATCATATATATGGTGTGTATTGTATTTCTATTGGACAGCACTGATCAAAAACGTTTATTTTTTATTTATTTTATTTAAGTAGGCTCCACACCCAGCGTGGAGCCCAACACAGGGCTCGAATTCACGATCCTGAGATCAAGACCTGTGCTGAGATCAAGAGCCGGATGCTTAACTGACTGAGCCACCCAGGCGCCCCTGATCAAAAACTTTTAAAGCAGACCCTGAAAATAAAATATGTGTAACTGGTAAAGAAAAAAACATATACATAAATATTTTTTCCCTCCCCATTCCTCTGCTGTGTGAAGAAAATGATACCGTAGAGGAGCTTAGAATTGGAACTCAGGAGTCTCCTTAGCTAAGAGTTCAGGCACAGCTTTGTTACTATCTGGTCTGTAAGTCCTTCAGCTTCCCTGGATTTCAATTTCCTCATCAGTTTTTTGGTATTTTAATTCAAAAGGTCAACAAAAATTTATTATGCTCCTACTTTTTATAAAGCATTATTCTAATATTGCAGATCTTGGGCTTATAGTTTAAAAGGAGGTGCAATGCAAACACAAGGCAAACTAAAAGAGTGCCCAAAGAAAGGAGACAAGGCCCTGTGACTGGGTGGCAGGTGCACGGGTATGCATGTTTTACAGGACAGAGAGTACCTTTAAAGGAGTTAGGAAAAACTGCAAACTTTATAACATTCCTATTAACTCCAAAATTCAGTGCTTTTAAAAAGCATTCATCATGCTATCCTAAGTATTTTGTAGTTTAGTGACACATGGAATTGATGATATTTGGTCAAGTCCTCCCCTGAGCATAATGATACAGAAAGACGTAAATGCCACTCCATAATGAGGTTCTACTTTACTTGAAAAAACAATTTTGTAGTACAGTTCAACCATAATCAAATAATCTCAGCTTCTAGCTCCAGAAAGCAAGAGATTTTTAATAAAAGGTAACATTTTGTGATGTGTATACAGATAAGTGGTTTATTCTTCAGCAGAAACCAGTTACCAGGCTAGACTCCTAGCTAAGCACTGTACTCTTTCCGATACCACAAACACAAAAAAAACCCATACAAGGGGTGGGTGACTCAGTCAGTTAAGTGCTGACTCTTGATTTCGGCTCAGGTCATGATCTCAGGGTCCTGAGTGTAAGGCTCTGCACTTGGTATGGAGCCTGCTTAAGATTCTCTCTCCCTCTTCTCCCTCCCTCTACTAACAAAACAAAACAAAAACAAAAAACCCACAAAACCCACACAAAATATAAAGTTCTCCCTGCACCCATGTCTGTAGGGTAATGATTTACCAAGACACCCCGATGCTGTTATCTCAGCAGTTATTTCCATAAGCTGGATGCATGTGACGACCACTGTATTTAAGGCACAAGCTGATAAAAGTCCATCCTGAAAATAATTTATAAACAACTATGTTACGTCATATAAACCAAACTTAAAAGCAAACTCGATGAACTCTATATACAAAGATTCCTTTGCTCACAGCATTCCTTGGAGGTACAATATCCCCTCCAATTTTAAGGCTGAAGACTGAGGTACAAGTACTGAATTTACCTGTCTTTCCTGAGATAAGGAAACTTAACAGCACAAAATGTGCTAAGAAATACATACTACAGTTTTGTAAAAAACAAAAAAAGAAAAGAAGACAAACACCTAATCCATGTTACACCCAGCCTAGGATTTTTATCTGTTAATCGCAAGAAAGGATGTTCTATGGAAGGGTACTATCGTTCTCTCTGCTATCAAGAGCAAAACTTCAGGAGTGCATGCCAAATCATCCCAGTTTCCCTTAGTTACTCTTTCTTAAATAGCTGTGAATGTTATCTACATCTGTTAAAGTTTGTAATTATTCTCAGTCTGGTATTCCCCTTCTAAGGTCACAAGTTTCCCATGTTTACTAAAAGCTGTGATTAGAATTTCTCATTTGTCCCATATCTGGCTTAAGAAATATTTTAAGACATATCCCCTAGTTTTATTATTCCAGAATTTGATGGGAAAGTTCCTGTTAACCCATCCAAACCTTTCATTGTAAAAGTCTTCATTATAGCCCTCCCACACACTTCCCTTTCCTTAAAGAAACAACTTAAAGGTAGTACTATGGTACAGGAGAAAAAAGACTGAATGTGGAGTTGGGAGAGGTTTCCAGCCTCTTTGGACTCTTATTCCCGGTTGATCTGGACAAATCTCTGAACATCTATGGACCCTGAGGGTGCATTAAAAATGAAAAAGTTAGGGGCGCCTGGGTGGCTCAGTCATTAAGTGTCTGCTTTCGGCTCAGGTCATGATCCCAGGGTCCTGCTCCCTGCTCCGCGGGAAGCCTGCTTCTCCCTCTCCCACTCCCCCTGCTTGTGTTCCCTCTGTCGCTGTCTGTCAAAAAAAAAAGTTAGAAAGATGACCTGGAAGTTCTCATCCACATCTGAAGACTTGTTTCAACCTGTCCTCCAGCACTTTGATCATTTTAGGTGTCCTTTTCTGGCCCTTCTCCAATGCTATTACGTATTTCTTAGTTGAACAACTTCCAATAGTAGACTATGTCCCAAAAAAGTACATTATGATTTTACACAACAGTACGATTTTTATTTTGAATCTCAAGCTGCTTTTGATATCAAGGATTTATCCCAGAGCTTAGGGAAGGGGGACATGGATGGGACAGGCTTAACCTGAAGATCAGTTGTTGAGGCTGGATGATGGATACATGCTGGCTCACTATTTTATCTATTTTTCTATGTCTGAAAGTCTCTATAATACAAAGTTGGTAAAAAAACAAACAAAAGAACACTATCAAAGTGAGAAGACAATACCAGACTGGCATTATTACAGGACTCATTTCTACAGTCTCTGGCATACGGATAACTGCTTTCACACCATTTCCCTTGGGTTGAGAGAGAATCTACAGGAGATGAAACTAAGCAGAGGCACTCAAAGTTCAGTCAAAATTAAGGAAAATGAACCAGAAAGGAAATGCTGTCAAGAAGGTTATCACTGAGAAGATCCATGGCACTGAGGGCATGAGCAGTGAGAGGCACTTATATCTAGTATAGTATGGAACTTACTTCCACAGAGTAATACCATATGTTTCAAACAGTATGTTTTCTCTAACTTTGAAACTGCAAAAGTTAAAACCCTACGTGAAACGAAGTGAGTAAATAAACAAGACCCTCTGGTAGGAGGATGCCTTGCAGGGCGTGAAATCAAAACGGAAAGATAAGGGATTTCGGGGGTTAAGAAATTCTAAAGAAAGAAAAATGGGTTCCTCTGGAGAACAAGCGAGAAAATCTACATCCCAGCGAAGCCAAAGGGCATAAGAAAAGAAATTACAGGAGAAGGCGCCTCCTCGTGATCTCTAATACCCCCTCAGCCCTCCCGAGCTCCACTCCTCCACGCTCGGGGAGGACGGGCTGCGGAGCACCTGGGATGCGGGGGAAGCCCGGAGAGCCCATCCGGAGGGGGACCGGACCGAGCAGGGAGTGGCGGGAGCCGCCCGACACCGGCCTCCAGGGCGCTGCGGCGGGACCCGAGGGCGGCGCAGCGAGCTCGCCCGGGGAGGGGCGCGGACTGTTCCACTGCGGCCGAGGGGGCGGAACGTTCCGACGGGCCGGGAAACCCCAGGAAGCGGCAATGGTGTCTCCTGACGCCGCAGCGGCGTAGGGACGGGGTTCCCAGACCGCAGGCCGCTCGCGGGGTGCCTGGTCCCGAACCCCCGGGCCCGCTGCCGGCTCCCCTGGGGCCAGTGACCTTCAGAACCGGCGGGAACTCGGTCATACTCACCGACCGCGAGCCTCCGGAGCTGCCAATCTCTCCGTGGACGATCCCTCCCGCCCTTGGCCGCCGCCGCTGGCCGAAGCGTGCGTAAAGACGTGCGCGCGCCCGCCCTTTGTCTACGCCGCTTTGACGTGACCCCTCGCGTCCCATCCCCACCCCTCCCGCCGTTTAATCTCTCGCCCGGCACCCGCGCGCCGGGCGCCGTTTAAAAAACAGGCTTCTTCTAGATAGCT